TCTTTCTTTCCCTTTCTTCCTTCTTCATTTCTTTCTTCCTCTTTTTCCTTTCTCCTTTCTATTCTTTTCTTCCTTTATTCTTCCTTTTCTCTTTTTTCCTTTCCCCATTTCCTTTCTCTTTGCAATCTCACGCAACGCTCACAACATTTAGCTAGCAGAATTCCTGTTCCAAAGCCCAGAACAGGGCAAGCAACACACAGCCTGGAGAGCACCCAACGAGAGCTTTTCTCAGGGCTCTTTTTACTACTCACGATCGATTTGCTGCTCTATTTACTTGAGCCAGCGGTGTTTTAGTTCCGTGTTTGTGTAAAAAAGGAACATAAACCAGCACCACAACGACACCCACCGTGCACACAGGGCCAAAGCGTTGCGTTGGGCCCTAGGAGGGAGGTGCCAGGCTGGGCCCTCCCCGGGCAGCAAGCAAGCAGAGGGCATGGCGGCTCTGCAGGCCCGCAGCGTGCTGCTCACCGGCTCCAACCGCGGCATCGGGCTGGAGTTGGTCAGGCAGCTGCTCGGGGGTCCTCACCCACCCACCCACATCTTTGCGACCTGCCGGGACCCAGAGGGACCGCGGGGGAAGGTCAGCGTGCGGGTGGGGGACGGGGCGGGCGGGCTGCGGGCCGGCAGCCGCGGAGGTGAGGGCGGCGGGATGGTGATGAGGGTATGGGGCTGCCGAGCAGTGCTGCGGGCAGGGCTGGAGGCCACTGGTGTCCGAATGCGGCCGTTGTACCACCCTCGTTAGGCTGTGGAGCAGACACGGGGGAGGGAGCACCTCAGTGCTGTCACTCCTCATTGCCCTTTGGATGTTGGGGTGAGAGGCGGCTGGGCAGCAGGCGGGGGAGGAATGCACGCTGCCATCACAAGCTGCTGAGAAGCGTCTGCCAGCATTGCCTGTGCGCAGGGGTGACGTGGGGACATGCAGCCTGATGGTGACAGCCAGGGTCAGTGTTTACCCTGTGCCGCGGTGGCGGGAGGTGTTGGTGGTAATGGCCTTAAATTGCACCAGAAGAGGTTCGGGTTGGGTACTGGGAGCACTTTCTTCCCTGTAGCATTCTCTGTGGGCCTCTTCGTGAGAGCTTGTAATCAATTTGGGCACACTGAATGCGGTCTTGTTGTCTACAACTCGCTAGAGGTAAGGAAAGCTCAGAGCAGAGGGATCCATTTCAGCTGGGCAGGTGAGATGTAGCGCCCGGAGCATCCAGGACTTGTGACTGTGCTCTTTGCATCCAGATAAGTCTTCCCCAGCCTTCAGAATGGATGACCTGGCAGTGGGCACCCTGGCATTGCTCTTGTCATCACAGCCACCTCCTGCTGACTGTTTCTGTGTTTCTTTTCGCAGGATCTGAGAGATCTGGCATCTAAACACCCAAACCTGATGCTGGTGAAGCTGGGTAGGTGTGCCCTGGCTGTCGGCTGATACCTTCGTGCCACCAACCACGCTGGCCCCATTTCTCCTCCCGACCCTGGCCGCAGGCTCTGCGTTTGACTCCACATCCCAGCATCTGCCTTCAAGTGCTGCTACCACCCGAAGCCCAATTCCTCCAATCCCTGCCTCATCCCACACCTCCCACAGCCGCAGCATCCCACTCCCTGTGGCCACAGGACGGGGAGCTTCTGGAGACCAACCATGGGCTGTCTCTCTGGGGACTGCCCCCCCCAGGAACGCTGCAGCAGCACTTTCCCACCGTGAGGTTGTCTGCAGGGCACCCCGCGCGATGCAGAGATTTTGGTGCCTGCGTGCTGTGGGCCGGTTGCGCAGCACCCTCTGGTGCCTACAAGGGGAACAGACGGCGCAGTTTGAGATGCCCGACTGCTCTCGGGAGCTCAACCCGTACCTTCCCCCCAAGCCCCTCGGGTGGACTCCAGCCCCAGGGATTACGAGGGTGTTCAGCGTTCAGGAACAAATCTAAGCACCCTTCTGCGCTGGGGGAAATGGGACCGAAGCCCATTCTGTGCCTCTTGCAGATGTTGCAGATCCCTCAGCGATTGTCAACGCGGCAAAGGTTGTGGAGGGGAAGCTGAACGGCGCAGGGCTGAACCTGCTGATAAACAATGCTGGCATCTTTACCCCGGTGTCACTGGAGACGGTGGACTCTGAAGAGATGATGCGGGCATACAAGACCAATGCAGTGGGACCGCTGCTGATGGCCCAGGTAACTCTGCCTTCTGTTCCTTTTGGCTGCAGCCGTGCGCCTCTCCGGTCACTGTGAAGGTCCCATAAGGCTTTCTGAAGTTTCCTGAGGCTGTGGGAAGGAGAGGATGGTGCTAGCTGGTGCTCACACCCTCTCTCTTGGCTTCCTGCCCTCGCCGGGCAGCAGCAGTGGGCCAGCTTGGGGCATGGGCACCCACCAGGCTGCTCGTCCCCAGGCGTTCCTGCCCCTCTTGAAGAAGGCTGCCCAGGACAGCAAGGAAAAAAGACTGAGTTGCAACAAGGCAGCCATCATCAACATCTCCACCCTCTTGGGGTCCATCGAGAGAACTCCTGAGTCCTACTTCAAGCCGGTCATCTCCTACCGCTGCAGCAAGGTAAGGAGATGGGGGCTCAGGAGCTGGCTGGGAGTCAGAGCTGGCCCTTGCCAGGCCTGTTCTTAGGGCAGCAGCTGAGCTTATGAAATGGAGGAACGTAAATGTGTTGGTCACCATCTAAGTTCTCAGGGCACCTGCATGCCTGTTCCCTGCCCACCTAGGGGACACTTGCACCGTTCACTGTCTCCTGAAGATCTGGCATTGTTTTTTCTCCCTCACCTTGAGGCACAGATGGGGTTGGAGGTTGGTGCACGGCACATTCTAATGCTTTCTTCCTCCCCCAGGCTGCCCTCAACATGCTCACCAGGTGCCAGTCTCTGACCTATGGTGAGGCTGGGATCCTGTGCGTGGCACTTCACCCCGGCTGGGTGAAAACTGACATGGGCACCCAGGAGGTGGGTGCAGGCTGAGCTTCTGCAGGACGTGGGCCTTTCTGCATGGTGCACTTGGGAAGTGGCATCGGTACATGTCCTGTGCCAGAGCCTTCATCCGAGGCTGGAGGAGGCTGGTTCAGGGGGACAAGGCTTTGGGCCGTCCCATACATGTGCAGTGATGAGACCTCCATCTTGTAGGACTCATCCTGTAAGGGGTTGTTCACACTGCAGGATCCCTGTTTTGGGGGAGGGAGTGGGGTCCCTGTAACCACGGGGCATGGATAAACCTGCACATAGCATCCCACTTGCAGCAGGACCTTCTACGTGGCTCAGCTCTGTGTGCCTGGTTCCTGGAGCTGCCCCCGAACCTGCAGCTGGCTTCTTAGCCCAAGCCACCTCCATCCAAACCATGCAGATACCCTAATGTTCTCCCACATGAGCGATCCATCCCGTCTCCTGTGGCTCTCCCCAGCATGGGGGCAGGGTGCTTTGCTGGGATGGGTGTGAGCCGGGATGTGTGCTGGTGGGGCTCAGCCCTGCTCCTCACCGATGCCCTTTGCAGGCTGACCTGACGGTGGACACGAGTGTGCGGGGGCTGCTGTCAGTGCTGCCCATCCTCTCTGAGAAGCACAGCGGGATGCTGCTCAACTGGGAAGGCAAAGCAATTCCATGGTGAGCCCTTTGAGGGACCACGCAGTGCCAGGGGTACCCTGAGTCCCCAGGATGATCATCACGGTGTGGCATGCAAGTAACCTACCCAGGACTCTGCCACTGGCTGTGCAGGGCAGGCTGTGATCCCTGCATCTGAATGGCTAATAAACACAATGGTCAATTAATGCTTTTCCCTGTGCTCTCACTGAGACTGTTCCTGCCCTGACCCAAAGCTGCTCTCTGTACAAAATAACCTGCCGTTCGAGCAGTGTGTCTGAACAGAAGGCTCGTCCCACTGGGTGACTCAGCAGCCCAAAGCCCTGCTCAGTGTGCCTGCTCTCTGCCATTCTTCTGCCCAATGCCTGGCTCCAGCGGAGTCTCTCTGCTACAAATCTCTTGGTGGACTTTGTGCTGGATGCAGTGTCTGTGTGAGCAGCCTTGGGGCTGAGATGTCCGGCAGTGCCACAGCCCATTTGGTGATCCCAGGCAGCTGGCCATTCCCAGTTTTGAGCTGTAAGTGGGCACAATACCCTTGGGTATGGGAAATCCAATCCCAAAGGGAGCACAGCATGGGAACGGCACTTCTGCATGGAGAGGCTGGGAACAGCAATAACTGGGCTTCTGCAGCAGGCAGGGCTTCTTAATTGGGTTGAGCAGCTCTGGACTGCGTGATTTTGTTCTGGAGGTGGTAGCAGCCCCAGAGGTGGTTTTTCCCAGTTTTAAAAAGTTTTCCACCCGTGCTTGCCCCTTCTGAATGGATCTTCCTCTTGGGGGACTATAGGGCAAAGCAGCCAGATGCTCCTTCAAGATCAGGAGATCAGAACAACCCGACTTGTAGGAGATGAAATCCCACAGCTTTCCCCTGAGCCCCCCACTTCCCAACCAATCTCCCTTGCTCAGGCTCCCTTCTGCAATCTGTCTGAGCACTGGGACAGATGGCCTTGCTGGGACCATGGCTTGGCCCTGCCGTGCCCTAGAGATCTCCAGCAAGCCCTGGCCCCAGCCTGCTCTGCCCCGCAACCCACTGAGTCCCAGCAGTGAGTATTTTCAGCTCTGGGCGCTCCCAAGACAGTGACATTTAGCAGCCTGGACTTTGGAGAGGACAGGAAAAGGGACAGCAGGGAGCACCTGCAGCTGTGTCCCAGCCTGGGCCAGCTTTCCATGACCGTGGATGGGAGAGCTGCCAGAGCTTGTGAGCTTATCCCTCCTTCCTGGGGTTCCCAGGCAGGCTGAGAAGAGAAGCAAGCTGCCCCTACAAAGCTGAGGGGTGCTGGGAGTATTGCTGGGTGGAGATGGGGTCCATCTGTACCGTACTCTCAGGAAGGCTGGATGAGGGGTGAGGTCTCCCCACTCCAGCGCTTTTGCTAAGCGGTGTGGGCTCTTCCTTTGCACAGGTTCCGGGTGTTTGTGCTCATGCAGCTGATTATCTCCACACTTCCTCTCCAGCCCGATGTTTCCTGCCTTGCTCACTCCCTTTCGCTGGCTTTGCCCTTTGTGTCAGCCTTATCTCCCAGCTCTGGGCAGTGTCAGAGCCCTGCGCTCCCCCTGCTCGCCGTGTCAGAGCCGGGTCGCTCCCACTGCCCCTCTGCTCACCAGGGAACAGATTGCTGGCTCTCTTTGATTTCTTCGTTCTTCCAGCATTCTCCTCCTTCCATGCCTGTCCTTTCCTGCTGCTGCTGTCCGTTGGGACACTGCCACAGAGGCTGTGGGAGATGGGTAGGCAGCAGGGAGAGCACTTTCCCCAGGGCTTAGCAGGGGATGCCAACCCCACCTGGCTCTGTGGGAGTGCAGCAAGCTGGAACAGAGCATGGAGGATTTAGGATCCAACTGCATTCAGCAGCTTAAATGGGATCTCCCAGTTTCATCTTTAGCCACAGGACAGGTGCAAACTTGACTGGGCTGAGCATTGCCCATCTTGCAAGATGCACATCTGCAAGATGTTCTGGCCCCAGAGAAATTAAGGAGTTTGCCCTCCAAGGCGGTCACTTCTCAGGGTCTCCCACCTGGTCTGACAAAGGCATGTTGCACTAGGAGCTGCAGTGGGACACCTCCAGGTGTCAGGACAGGGTGAGAAGGACACAGGGAGTCCCGGTAGGATGGGGACCTAGGGGCAGGTTCTGCACCAGGTGGGCCAAGAGCCCCATGGATGTCAACGCTGCTCCAGGAGGAGAGGAGCGAAAGAGGAGAGTGGGGATGGCGTGGGGCTGCTCCACTGTTTGACCTGCTGGCCTCAGCGCTGGGAGGTGGAGCAGCAGCAGGAGGCAGGTCAGAAACCAGCTGGTGAGGACACAGACCGGCAGCACGGCCGGTGTTGGAGCTCCAGAGCATCGCTGGAGCAGAATAAGCAAGAAGTGCGGGGACCTCAGCCGGGACCTGAGTGAGTCTGCATCTCCTTCATCTCCCACATTACCCATGGGACAGAGAGCTGGGGCAGCAGGGTGGTCACATCCATGACACTGCGGTGCCAGTGACTGCTGTCAGCCCTGTCACCAGGGGATCTGCTGCAGAGGAGGGTGCTGGCTGTGGGAGAAACACAGCCGGGCAGGAAGCACACCCTGGCCCAGGCAGCGCTGGGGCCAGCAGATAATGCACCAAGGCTTCCTCCTGCGCACCGCAGCCGTGGGGCTGGGGCGACTGTTTGCTATCTGGCCCCCCAGCCCCACCAGCATCCCCTCCTTTGTGTTATTGTTAGGTCCCCAAGCCCCACTGCTGCCTGCCCTGCTGCTCCCTGCCCTGGCAGCCTGGGCAAGTGGCTCCATGGCTGCTGTGTGCTGGGAGCTCAGTGCTGCCTTTGCCCTCCTGGGGACCAGCATCTTCCCCAGACATTTTGTGTCCCAAGGGCTCCTTCCTGGCCCTTTCCCATAGTGACAGAGGATGCTGGGGTTGTTGTGTTTTGGAGGTTCCACGGTTCCCTCCTTGCTGTCTCTGCTCACTGTAAGCTGGACTGATCCTGCCTGGTGCTTCCTCTCAACCCACCCCACCATGCCCACTGTCCACATCCCTCAGTGCCACATCTTTATGGTCCTCAGACATCTCCAGGGGTGGGGACTCCCCTGTTTCCCTGGGAAGCAGTCTCCCCAGGGTGCTGGGCAGGGTGGGACCCTTTGGTGCCTGCAGGAGAAACTTGGGCAGGTCCCATTGGCTTTATGGGGAACACGCTTGGGCTTGGGCACGTGGCAGGTTAGATCTTCCAACTGGAGGTCTCCCATCCATGCACTGGGAGCCACAGAGATGGTGGAGGAGATCCAGTCACCCAGAGCTGGGGCATGCTGTGCTCAGCCCTGCAGCAGGAGGGGCCATGCTGAAGGGGTCATTCCCGCTGAGCATCCCCTGCCGCATCCTTGGCCCCACCAGCAGCACACTTTGGCAGCTCAGATTGGCTTTCTCTTTGCTGTCCTCCTCCTTGGAGCCAAGGAAGCGGTGCTGGGGAGGAGCTTGGCTCCTCTTGTTTGTTATTACAGGATAAAGTTACTCATTAAAGCAGAGCCAGCGCTGTCGGGGCCGCATGCCATGCAGGAACATCGCTTGTTCCCAGCGGCTCCGACGTGCTGGCTGGTGTTGTGTCCCAGCCCCAGGCACGGTGAGGAGGGCTCAGATGGGGGGACCCAAGAAGGTGCTTGGAGTCTTCTCCTCCTGCTTGGGGAGGTGGAGAGCGAGGGGACAAAGGCTTCTTCCAAACAGGAGGGGGATACATAGGGGTAGGGAGTATCTAGGGAAGATACTAGAGCAAAAGCTGGGGGCAGTGGGAGGGCAGAACATGCCTGCAGGCTCCAACCTCTGTCTCCACAGCTGCCAAACCCAGAGGTGTCCTTTGCTGGGACCTGGCAGGACTGAGCAGTGCCCACAGCACCGCTCTCAGCACTCAGTGGTGACGTCTGTGTGGGTGGAGGGGAAGGAAGCAGAGCTGGGGGGGCTTCCTGGAGAGCTCCTGCACCTTCTGTGTCCCCAGGCCGGGTGCAGGGCAGGGACCCGGGAAACTCCATTGACATGCTGGGTCCCCAAGCCACAAGTCATGCTGTCCCCCTGCTCATGGCACTGGGGAAGCAAAGCCACCAAGGTTAGGGATGTCTCGCACATGCAGGAGCCATTCCACCTTGGTGTGCCAAGGTGAGGTGGCCCACTCTGCCCTGACCCCAGCAGAAGGAGCCGGTGTCCTCCCCACCATCACCCCACCCGATGTCTGTCCCCACTGCATGCTGGGGTCCCTAAGAAACCTCCTTGCTCCACGCCATGCTCTCATGCACATCAAAACCATGCAAAACAGCATTTTTATGTGCCTTGCTGTGGGTGGAGCGCCAGTCCAGCAAGGACAGGAGATGGTTACAGCCGCTTCCTATTGCCCCGCTCACCCCTTCTCATTTCCTTGACCCACGTCCCTGAGCTTTTGTTGTTATTCCATCTGGAGGGCGGCGAATATTTGCTGAAGGGGGGAGCTTTGACCCATCCCTGGGGGCCACCTTGGCCGTGCCCGAGGTCTGCTCGATGCCATGGGTCGAACCCATCAGTGCCAACTCCGTGCTGAGCCACGTGCAGCTCGGCCATGACCTCAGCCTTCCTGCCGTGTGGGACAGGCCCGCAGGGGCTGCAGGAATCCTGTGAATCACAAATACTTTTGGAGTGATTACTCTGGGGCGTGAGATGCTTCCTACGGCGCAGGGTTGACAACACAGACCCGGTGCATTTCCAGCATGTCATCCATACCCTTAATCCAGGCAAGGGTTGGGGATGCTTCTTGCCATCCTCATGGGGCAGAGGAGAGGACTGGCAGAGGGGAGGACAGCTCTGCTGCAGAGCCGTGCCCTGGGTGCCAGCTTGCAGTCTGGCTGAGCTGGCCAGGTTTCCAGCAGAGCTTAGAGCTGTGAGTCAACCTCCGTCCTCTGTTAACTCCTTCCCTCGTCCTTCTCCTCTGATTTGTAACTGGGGGACCCAGGAAAGCTGCAGCAGTGCTGAAGGGCACAGAAGGTGAAATCGTGGCCGTGAGGTTTTGGGGGCCAGAGGCTCCGTCCTGCACTGCTCCAGCACAGAGCAGGAATGCCGAGCATGCAGTGCTGCAGGGTGTACATGGAGGGAGGCATGGAGCCAAGCCCTGGCCTCGTGCCCTCTGCTGAGAGGGGAGATGACGTGGCTCAAGACCTGACATCCAGGGTGTCCAGAGAAGGGAATGGAGCTGTGAGGGGTCTGAGCA